CACTTCGAGGAAGATTATAAAGTTATTACCAACGCGAAAGCGCGGAACACGATGATTAAATCTGCAAAAATTGGAAGACGTCTGGTTACACTTTGTGCGATCTTCATGTACGGCAGCGGACTCTCTTTTCGACTGATCTTGCCATTTGCCAAAGGAAAAATCATCACTCCACAAAATGTTACGATCAGACCTCTGCCTTGCCCGGCTTACTTCATTTTTTTCGATGTACAAGTCAGCCCTACTTACGAGCTAATCTTTGCAATACAAATATTATCCGGGATAATCACTTACTCGATAACAACAGGTTTATGTGGTCTTGCGGCGGTCTTCGTGATGCATATCTGCGGCCAGTTAAAAATCTTGATGAGTTTGATGAGAAATTTTGTCGAGGAGAAATGGCAAGAAAAACGGGAAGTAAACAAGAAGCTGGCAATAATGGTTGAACATCAAATAAGAATTCGAAAGTAAGAGTTTTGGAGTTTTAATTTTATTAAAATTATGTACATGCAGAGACTAAACGATTGTAATAAGTGATTATTCATTAATCGGTACTTTTAATATCATATTCATACAGCAATTCTAATTTCTCATTTTCTGAATGTATTGATTCGGAATCGTCAACATTTCAGTTTTTTGCAATTGGTAGAAAATACTCTACAACAAGCGTGTCTAATAGAATTGACGGGATGTACGATGAATGCCTGCATTCTAGGATATTTTATATTAATAGTTCGTAATTTGATATATTCGGGAGTTTCAATAACAAAGCAAAAAGAAGTAATATTTCCAGCAATACTCGTAATATAATATTTATAGGAATGGGAAAATAGCAATCCATTAGCTATGAGCTCTTACTTTACAGCACTTATGTCCATGTTGATAAACATGTTTATGTTTTGTTATACTGGTGAACAACTTACTGTTCAGGTATGTGTTCAAATCTTTTTCTCGAAAGATGATATTGTACGACGGTGATATATTATATGTAACAATTATTTTTATAGTATAATTTTTATAGTATAATATGTAGGATGTAGCAGTGATGCGTAACTCGTGGCTCGCCGGTTCATAGTTCAAGAATTTTATAAAATTATATTCTCTATTTTATACAAATTTAAAATGCATTTAAGATGCATTAAAACATTTTTTTAAATTTATGTACAAAAATCCAATTTATGTTTAATAAATAAATATGTTTTGTAAAATATTTGATGTTTATAAGTTATTTTGATTTTTTATATTCTTATTGATGAGATAAAATTCGAAATGAATTTTGGTATTTATTTTTATACGAAGCGTATAATCATGTAAATCAATTATTAAGATAAATATCTTTAATAAATAAATAGATACAAAAAATTTTATCTTAATATCACTATAACAAATTTTATATGCATATATGCATATATACGCACCGGAATAGATTTCATGCAGTTCGTAAGATATACAATCTGAAAATGGTCAGTTTAAGAAAGATTGGGCATTACTGCTATATAGCATATATACTCGTATAATAATATGTACAATTTATAATATAATGCTTTATTACTTTATACAAGACAATACTTGAGAAGAAGTTGGAAATATTTCTAAA